CGAATACTTTTGCAAGCCACTGTAAATCAGTACAAATGTTGCAGAAGGACCAGAGCTGTCCTGTAAGGAAACCCACCAACACTGAACGCTTGAAGTTGTTATAGGCAGGGGAATGAGCTGGAGTACTTGAACTGCAAGTATAAAAGATTGACACAACAATTTCTCCATCCGAAACTCAAATTTTTGGCCATTCTCTCAAAATGCCAACTTACTGACTTCTGAGAAATTAACCCGACATTTGGAGTTATTAACTCAAAGTTACAACTTCGCTCTGTTTTGGGAAAATGTTATTTTTTCCAGTGGTAGAAAAACACCTTCATAGATGGGTGAAGCCTTAAACCTCCATCCTCTTAACTCCTAATGAGAGAGCTGCACATGGGCTGCATACAGATTTGTGATCATACAGAGATTTATGGGAAAACTCCACAATATCCTGACCTCTATAAACATTTTCCTGAGCAGTTTATGGGCTCAGGTCAGACCGAATAAAACATCAAGTCCATTTTATAACTTGTGCTCATTTTAGGTGTCTGAGCAGAGGATCATCCAGGCTCATTGGCTAATAACTCACAAGTGGTTAGCCAGGGAGGATGCAGCACTTACAGTCAGTAAGACCCGCCCCTTATTAGTCGTGGTTTCAAAACACCAACATGGCAATACTCAGCGAGGTTTCATAACAGAACTTCATGAATGGGTGAAGTCATAGAAGCTACGGCCATCTTTTATACTGTACTTACGCACAAGTGCTCACAAACTTTCAAACAACAGGGAATAATAGCATTTTTTAAGTAAAAGTATACACAAAAAATCTCCCAATTTAAACTAAGTTTGACAGGCGGTTGGAAGGAGATGCACAACAGTACTTAAAAAGTAAAATAAAACATATATGGCATGAATCTTATTATGCTTATCACTAAATAATGAGAAAGCAGGATATTGTGTTAATTTTTTTTTTTATCTCAGAGACAGCTTTATGTACTGGACAAAAGTGGGGAACCACTGATGTCATGTTACTGTGAGGTCTGCAGCGTGGTAACACAGCGAGGAACAGTGCACAAATCTGCTGCCCTAAAGTCTCTGAAAACCTGCTGAGGGCCCAGAATCACTCCACATTTCTGCCTTTCTGTGGTATCTGATGTGGACAGCTTGCACACATCAAGTGACTTTCTTTGCACAGTTGCCGTCTTGGTCAAGTCACATGACTGTAACAGGGGTTACACCCAGTGCTTGGGACCGATGATAATGCCCCTCATTGATCTTCAGATCCCAACACTGCTCCTCGTTTTCCTCCCCTCCAAAGCAGCGTTTCCTGAAGGAATGTCAAATATCCCGGGAATCCTCTGTTAGCCCTCGCTGGCCCGGCACAGATCCAATAAATGTGCAGAGTTAAGAGAGCTCACGTGCCAAAGGCTGCTCCAGAATACTCAAAGCATTAATGAGGAAAAAGTAAAAACAGAGCAAAGTTGCTATTTTAAGAAATCGGGGTAGCAAGAGCACCTTGGTTTGAAAGATCTTAATGAAATCAGGGGAAATCGAATTTTTGCAAGTTTCTAATCTGGTTTAGAGAGCTGATGGTAAAATTCAATGTAGCCTACTTGATACACAGTATGTGAACTTCAGCTGAGCTTAATTGGTTCAGTCAAACGCAGTTTTAGGTTTAAACACATCCTGGTAGCTGCTATGATGATATTGATTAATTTAATGGTAAAAAAAGAGAGCAGGTTAAACCTGTGGTTTAGCTTATTCACTATTCCAAGGCTCTAGAGTGTAAAAATGCTCATTTTAATGTCCACACCATTCTGATTTGGTCCGGTATGATTCAGATTATCTGATAATATAAACTTTATTTATCTCAAAAACTGAGAAATATCTCAAGTTTACAAATTAGCCTAAATAAAGTGGAAAATATATGTGCAGCAGGTAAACAAACATTACAGAAAAATCCCTCACATGGGGGATAAAAGTGAGAAAAATAAAAATAAAAAGTAATTTTTTTATAAACTCAATAATTGCTGTTGAATATACTTACGAATATATTTTTTTCAGATAAAGTAAAGCAGACTTGCCTTTTTTGAGCAATCTTTGAGTCAAACCATGCACGTTCGACCATGTAAAAGTTGACTTATAGACCTTTTTAATCATTTGCTAACAGAACTGTAGCAATACAAACAATACTATTTGTTTCAGTCTCATTTCCAGCATGGACTCTTTACACTCTTCACCGGTTACCCAGTTCTCACCCATGACCCTCAAAAATCGTGTTTTGTTTTTTTTTTTTTTAAATTTTTTAAATGGTGGCTCACGATCTAACAAATCTGTTAGATGAGTCAGGTGAATTAACCAGCATAACAACAGCAGGGCCGCACAGTAGCTCATCAGTCAGTGTAGGTTTGAAGCTGTCCCAAAGACCTGCTTGTCAGGTTATCTGGTGGTGGTTCTGAAGTGGCTGCTGGAGTGGCGGTAAATGGTTATCTGCTTCTCAGTCTGTTAAGAAAAACGTTGACTGGGTGTGCTGGTGAGAGACGTGTGCAGAGGGTAAAAGTAATAAATCAGCCCTGGATGAAGGTTATATGTCTGAACCTATGGGTGATAGTGCTATAAAAAAAAGGGGGTAAAAAGGTAAACCTGCACAGCTCGTGCAGCAGCTGCACCTGTTACTGGACCTCTGGGGCAACATGTAACATATGTGCGGCATTACAGTTATTTTGTTTGAAGCTCTGAAGAAGTTTGACTTACTCACAACCACAAGCATTAAAAAAAACTCAGTAGTGGTTTAATTTTGTAGCAAAACAACAGCTGTTTCCTAAGATGGAGATATGGCCAAACTGGAAATTTTTAAAACTCAAGTGGTTCAAACTGATGTCTCCAGAGATTGAACATGCACATTCTGACACTCCTACCCACATCTGCTGCACTAAGGGATCAATTAAATAAAAACAAAAAAATGCATATAAAGTACATAAAAAAAACTGAATTAAATAGATAAAATCAAGAAAACAAATTTTTAAATAATAAAAAATGAAAATGTAACTAAAATATCGAATCATGATTAGTTTTATTTAAAAGAAATAAAGAACAGTAAGCCTAGCTCTGTTAAAGCACTTTTGTTTTCATTTGTTGAGATGAAATTCAATTAAAAAGGTGCCCAATTGGTTAATCTAATACAGATAACTGCCAAGCTATGGCTCGGATTTGCCCGTTAAAATAAAAGGTTTTACATAAACGACGTAAGCCCTTTAGTCTGGAGCTATTTTGGCGCCATCCAGGAATTAGATTCCACACTTCCCCTCAGGATGGTTGCACTCAGTAAAACCGTACACATAGTTATCTCGTAGTTGTGACGCTAAATAGGAGACTACTCACCGATTGAGAAAGACACCAAGACATGAGAAAACACGGAATGAGTCTCTATGAGATCCTCGGCCATTTGCGGGTGCAGGAAAAAGCTGGAAAAAACGGATTGACAGCGGTTCAGATAAAGCTTTTCCAAATGCCTGGGTCAGTAAGTGCGCTTTTTTTAAACACATGGGGTCATAGGGATAAGCAGAATAAACCATAAGCTATGTAAACAGTGACAAAAAACCCCAAACAGCATTAAAAATACAATCAAATACAGCCGTGTTTAAAACCACATTATGGACCCATCCCTGCGCATCCATCTGTGCGCACAACCGAACCAAAAGCAAATCCCAACATTTTCCTTTCCTCCAAGCAGATCCACACTGAATTAAAAAACTTCTTAACTTCTTACCAAAGCACTGCCCACGTCGCGGTGATCATACTGTGCACACACGATGTGGAGATGTTTCTCCATTTCCAAACGTTCCTGCAGGCAGACTCGGGTGTGGGGAGTTTTCCGACCCCGCTGTTCACGAACTTGAAAAATCCCACAGAACCCCCGATCGTCAAAATCACTGACCCCAACTCCATCGCGAAAAGGTTTGGTCCACGAGGTGAAGACTTCAAAAGCCACAAGTGCCTCCCCCCTCAGTCTCCACGAAGTGAGTACTGATATATATGTATATACGCGACAGTGGTGGTTGTGGCTGTGCTGCTGGCGACCGTAGCCCAGACAAACACACGACAGCGGTCTTACTTGTTTGCGACGACCCAGACAGTCACGTTAACACACCGGAGAGCCCCCGATCAGCTCAGGTCACCAGGCGCTCCGTTAGGGTCGTGAACGCACGGCTTGGCGCTTATTGTCCACAGAGAGAAGGCGTGGACGCGTCTGGTGAATGATTTCCCGCTGACATGCACTGAACGTGGAGTGATTTCTCTCTCTTTTTTCTTTCTTCTCCCTCCTCTGCCTATAATAATCCCGTAAAGAACAGGTCTGCGATCACAGGAAGAACCGGTAGGTGTGAATGGAAGCTATCGGGGTGATGCCCTGTTTCCAGTTGTGAAACCACCCTGTTGTAAAACCTCATCCGTGCTTGTGTAACTTTTTGACATCAACACACCAAACAGCAGCTTCTCCCCGCCCTACTATGAAGGGGCGCGGCCAAGCGCGTTTTCACGTGTTGTGTTGAGTTCACGTGCTGTCCGAAAAGCCTCTCATAACTTCATAACGACTATAAACATTATACGTATGTGTACTTTAGACTTTGCTGCTCTGAGAGGCTCTGCGGGACAGTGTTTTAGTGAATACAACACTGCCTATTTTACGCACGGTTATACTCTCATTTACAATTTATAACTTTATAAAAATAAAGAAATATCTTCTTTATTTGGCTGTTTCCTTTGATGGTTGCCACAGTCAATCATTTGCCTCCATCCTACCCTATCATCATGCACGTTCTCCTTCACTACATCCATGAACTTGCTCCTGTCCATTTTTGACATCCTTTTGTCCACCATTCCTCCAATGCGCATGTCCAACCCATCTCAGTCTTGGGTCTCTACCTTTGTCTCCAAACCTCCAGCTGTCCCTCTGGAGTAATCATTTCTCATCATGTCCATCCTCTTCAATCTTAACACCTTCAGCTTGGCCTCTGGTCTTTCTCTTCAAACTGTGCATCAGAGCAGGCTTCCTTTCCATTCACTCCTGATGTTATCTTTCTGTAACAAATCACCCATGACACTTGTCTCCACCCACTCCACCCTGCCTGATCTATCTTCTCACCTCTCTTGTGCACTGTCTGTTGCTTCGGATGGTTGACTCCAGGTATTTAAACTACCTGTACTCCCTGCAGCTTCACTGCTACACCTGTCCGCATCACACGGATGTATTCTGTCCTCCTTCCACTGACTTTTTTTCCACTCCTCTCCACATCATGCCTCCACCTTTCCAGACTCTCTTCCAAGCAGATCCCTGATGTAATCCCACCCCCACTTTTAACGCATCTGTCACTCCGACCACACACCTCCCCACTGTCTCACTGCCCTGCACCACCCTCACATACTTCTCTGCCGCTCCAAACCTCCTCATGCAGTCCCACAGCTCCTCCCTTGGCACCCTGTCACATTCTTTCTCATATCAACAAAGGCAAAGTGAAGCTCCTTCCGACCTTCTCTACCAACTGTTAAAGACAGCAGTTGAATGTGCAAACAGATATTAATTACTGGACCATCATGTGCAGTTTTTATAACAGCTTGTTATTGTTGCTTTATTCAAAAAAAAGAAACTCCAGAATTCACTCGAACCTCCCACAAACAAAGTTATAAATTACAAACAACCTTTAAAGCATCACCGCCTCTAACGCAAATCATTGGCTCAGAAACCACCGCGGATTCATGGGAGTAGTAGTTTATTTGTATATGTGACTACAGATCATGTAAGGGAAAGCGTGGTGCTTTGATTCTGACATATTTATGATATATGTGTGCAAAATAAATAATAGTGGTATGATCCACTCTTCTCTGAATTTACATGGAAGCCAAATTAATGTTTTATTTCCCACTCATGTTTTTTTTTCTTTTTCCCTGTGGTAGAGACCAAACGAGCGCCGCTTTCATTCACGTCCGGACCTGAACATGCACACAATGACTGCTGTGATCTTTAATGACACAGCGACATCATGAGGTTAAAAGCAAAAACACACACAACCATAAAGCGTACTGAGCTACAAAGAAGAGCAAAATGATTTGTAGGATGAGTGTTTTATTCCAGTATAACAACCAAAGACTAATGCAGCATAGATTAAAAAACAATACACGTTGGGTTAAAGTAAGATTTAATAATCTTCTCAGCTGTATAAGAGGTGAACGAGCTCTACCACCTCCTCCATATGGGGTAGCTCAAAAGTGGGACGGCCAATGTCAGAATGTCACTAATCAATCTCTGTCTCCCCAGTCCTCGTGTCAAAGTGTCTTTGGGCAGCCAAAGTTATTGCATAAATTCAAGTTGACAGTGTGTGTGTGTGTGAATGTTATATAAATACCAAGATCAGGGCATTAATATACCCACTTCCATATTCTAAGGGCCAGCTGGAGGGCCAGCTCTGTTCTAGGATGCCCTCTGGTCCCAGTGGAGGTGGTGGGTGAAAGGAGAATGGTGGCTAAGCTGTCATCCCTGTTGGACAACATCTCCCACCCCATGAAGGAGACTCTGACAGCACTGAACAGCTCCTCCAGTGTCAGGCTGCGGCACCCACAATGTGGAACGGAGAGATTTCGCAGGTCTTTCCTCCCCACTGTTGTCAGACTCTACAACACACACACACACACACACACACACACACACACACACACACACACGTAACTCTCGCCCTTTCTCCTTGATGTGCAATTTCCCGATATAACAACGTATTTTATTCTATTTGTATATAGCATTCTTTCTATTTTGTATAGCATGTTATTCTGTTTAACTTATTCTATTCTATTGTTTTTATGCTTTTCTCTTATTTCGCTTAATTTTTTACTGCTCTTATACTTTCTGCCGTGACCAAAAATTTCCCACGTGTGGGACTAATAAAGGTTTATCTTGTCTTATCTACCTTACTTACTATTTAAATAAAAGTTCTTTGAATGCACAAAATACACTTCAATATTTTTGGCCAATATATCTTATGGCATATAATTTCCCCCCATTTAGATCATAATATATTACCATTGGTAAGGTGACTAACACCCACTGGTTTAACTGATTTTGTGTATGTTTGGTCAGAGACATTATAAGAGACTGGCTGATAAATACACCTCACATTCAGGTTACGGCATGTTTATGTTAAAACTATAGACATAATGGAGATGTTTCTCAGAACTGTGGTTATGGCTCATGGGGTTATAGCAGTGTGTGTGTGTTTCCCAACACAGGAAAGGACCTCTTTGTTTAAAATCCAAACATACAGCCAAAGATAGACTATAAGGGCCACATCTTTTTCACTAAAGCAAAATCCTTCTGAACGTATTTCTGTGTTA